TTTGAGCTCAAAAGGTCCTAAAACAAGCTCTTACAATGCATGGGGCCTTCTTTGAGTGCAAAAGCCACTCCTTTCTGCCTTGTAACCCCTCTAATGACCTAGATCCGAAACATCAACCCAAACCATGCTTGCAATCATGGTTGGTAACCAAAATGGCTTAGAAAAGCCCTAGAACTCCACAAAATGGGATCTATCAAAAGAACAACCAAGGTACTGACTTTTTACCTTCAATGAGCTGAAAATGGTGCACAAACTCGGATCCCTTTAGCCTCCTCTTGTTCCTTCAAGCTTTTCCTTCCCTCCTTGGATCACAAAAACAGCAAAGTCACTCCAAATGCCTAGATTGCTTCAATAACGGCTAGGGTTTCAATGAGAGGTGTTTGGGAGCATAAAGGGGCGATGGAGGCTGCATAAGGTCGTTTAAATAGGGTGCAAACCCTTGGATTAGGGTTTTTGTCCAGACAGCGTCTACTCGCCGAGTCCGGGACCCGACTCGTCGAGTCCATCGCTTAAATCTCGCGTTCCGTCCCGCTTCTACTCGGCGAGTTGGTCCTTCAACTCGCCGAGTCCAAGGCCAAAAATGCAAAATATTTAAAAAATTAATAAAAAGAATACGTACCAAGAACCAGGTGCTACATTTTGTTTCAGGTCCTTCTTCTTTGAAGGGAAAGGAGCCGACACGATAACTGCGCATCACACCCATGATTTTCCGCACATGAGATTCTTGTGATTTGTACCCTGACATTATTTTTCCTATGATATATTTTTGAGATAGTTGACTTATGGTTTTTCATGATATGAGATAACATTGATGACATTTTCAGTAATCTGTTTTATGAATCTTTTAATTAAAAATGAATTTTTTGGTCTTGAATTTTAGGGATGTTACACATAAATAACGTGAATCACGTAATGATCGTGGATAAGCGTAAATGAACGTAAGTGAACGAGTTAAACATAAATATGAGCGCGAATAAACGTAAAACGTAAGGTAAACAGAAAGTTACGTGTATTCACCCCCAAAAGTTTTAAAAAGTTAAAAATGACCCATAGAAACTCACCCTAATCACATGAGGTTAATTCTTTTCTAGTTCGGGACATTTTTCGGGTTTCACCAACTTTTGAATGGAGCGGTTTTTAGACAAGCTAAGCACACAAGTTTATGTATTTTCTAGTTAGAACATTAGATGAAACATTTTACAACAAAAGAGTTGTTTTTGGTGACAAAAGAAGGATGAAAAGAATGAACAATTACCTAGAACTTTAGCGACAAAGTAGAGTACCAAAAAAGAGTTGAAACAAGTAGGATTTGAGTGTAAAAAAAGTGGAAGCTTCTTGGTCCGTTTTCCTCTCGAAAAAACAACTCTTTTGGTGTGTTTTGATCCTCGAAATGCCACGTTGTGGTGATCTCTTCACCACGTTGTGGCCAACCAAGTTTTTTTTCAAAATTAACAATTAAAACTCATACTTGAAACAAGGCTTTAAATAATAATGATTTAAAATTAAAAGTTTATAGAAAAGAAAGGGGAATAAAGAGTAGAAAAGAAAGGGTTTCTATATCTTAACCCACCAGAAAAAGTGTTAAAAAACAAAAACTACTTTTGGATTTAAAGAAAAAACGTCACTATAACTTAAAGAAAATGAAGAAAACGTGCTAAAGGGGCATCCATGCTTCTTTCTAGCTTAATAATTAGAGAGTTTATGGGTGTATTATGCTAATCTAACTGAAAGCTATAACTTTTATTTGTATATGAAGCTTTATTAAATATGATTATGTTAATTAATAATTCAAAAATATAATATTTTTTTTTGAACAACAAGAATTTTATAGAAAACAAGCTAGCAAGAAGCTAGAATTACATGAGTTTGGTACATTCTCGTGAATGGCTATGACACCAATCAACCCAGTTAAAGAAATAATCTTTTCTAGATCGGTATTTAATCCATTCGAATGCCAACATCTTCACTTCGCTAACCAAAATACGACAACTCTTATCCTTGCCATTAAATATTTTATCACACCTGTAACTCCAGATAATCCAAGCGAAAGCAGAAAGCACAACCGAAACAATCTTACTTACGCAGCCAGGGTACCAGAACTGGACACACAACCGAAGAGGTCATGGAGAGAGCTGCTACCCACCGGAACTTGGTTCCACCAATTGTTGATGGTAGACGCACCTCCTGAGCGACTAAACAATTTAGAAAGAGATGGGACTCTGTCTCTACCAAAATGTGTTGCAAAGGGGACATAAATGCGAGCCGATAAATACCCCAATTTTCTCAAGATTACTGCGAGTAGGCAGTCTTTCAAGAATAGATCTCCATACAAATATATTAACTTTACCAGGCAAGATTTTGTTCCAAGGGGTACTTTCCTCAAGGAATATCAAAAGATGGTTATCAATAGTTTTCCTACACGACGCCACAGTAAAACATCCTTCATTGTCTTCAATCCACTTCCATTTGCTATCCTGAAAAACAAATAAATCGTTAAGGTCGACCTGATTACGCATCAGGTACAAGTGAAGATGGCTGATGACACCCCAAGTCCCTCCTCTTCTAGCAATAACCCTGGTGCGGCCAATCCCACCATCAGTCCCATGTAATGACATAATGACATCGCACCATATTCCTCTATTATCATTTCTAAACCGCCACCACCACTTAGCTAGTAAGGCATAGTTGTACGCTCTGAGACTACCAATGCCTAACCACCATTGTCCCTCGAGTTAAGAACTTTCTTCTAGGCAACCCAAGGAATTTTATTTTTATCGGAAGAACCACCCAAAAAAAAACCTACACCTGATACTCTCAATGATTTAAAATATAATATAATAATGATTTAAAATTAAAAAGGTTATAGAAAAGAAGGAGCATAAAGAATAGAAAGGAAAGGATTTCTACATATTAACCCACCACAAAAAGTGTTAAAAACTAAAAACTACTTTTGGATTTAAAGAAACAACATCATCATGACATAAAGCAAATGAAGAAAACGCTAAAGGGACATCCATGCTTCTTTTTGGCCTAACCATTAGCAAGTTTATGGACGAATTCGACTAAACTACATGAAAGTTGAAAGTTGGGAGCTATAATTTTTATTTGTATATGAATGTTTGAAAAAAGTAGCTGAAAGATCTTAAAACATGTAACACTATATAAAAGGACTTATCTAAAACATGTCTTTGATTTAAAAAAAGTAATTAAGTTAATTTGTAAAAAGTTTTTTGTTAAACAGTACTTGAAGTAGCTTTTGGATTTATAGTTCTTTGTTTTAGCTAAAAGCTAGAAGCTTCTTCAGCCGAGCGAAGATTTATTTTCGAGCTTTTTCTTAAAAGCTAAAGAATAGAAGCTCCCAAAAGTTGTGTGCCGAACACACCATTTTATTATGTTATATCATATTACTGGAGCAGTGAGAACTAGTTACGTGGGCATCCACGGACAAAAAATCAATAAAGAGCGCCCAACATATTTGTGCCCATACTCTGCTTAATATCATCCATGTTGATCTGCATTATCGTTGTGGCGACATCGTTCTTAATTCGTATCATCTTGGTGTCATGAAATTTTAGTTGGGGATGAATGTTGATCTGCGTTATCGTTGTGGCGACATCGTTCGTGATTCATATCATCCCGGTGTCATGAATTTTTAGTTGGGGATGAATGGTAAGAACTGAGAAGCATGGAAATTTCTAAAATGATTCATCATTTTTTTCTAAGAGAAACATCAACCAAACTTCCAAGAAAATGTGAGATGTTGAACGAGACTAGCAATATAATCAAACACTAAATATAAACCATTAATGGTGTACATACCCGTAACCTTTTTTATACCATTTAGTCCATATTACCCAAAGGATATATAATCGAATTGATTTTTTTTGTAATATCAAGTAAGAGACGAGTCTCAAATTAACAGTGATGGTGTGCAACCTGAAGTGCTTGGAATCATTGTCATCATGAATATGGGTTTCAAGATATTTTTGAACTTCTTGGGTGGTCATATTTCAATTCATGGTCATCTGCAATAAGGGTTGAGAGGTCGTTCCATAGATCCATTGTTTCACAACTCAGGATCAAGTTTAGCATGGTTTTCATTGTTGGAGTTGTCAATATCATCTATAATTCCGTCTTCGATGCAATATTTTTGAAAATAACTATTAGTAATCATCATAATTGACAAATAGGATCAAGAATTATAGGAATGCGTTATTTAATGGTGGTAATACCACACAGCTTCTTGGCAGAGAGGTTAGTTGAGGAGAAAAGTGGTGGTTATGGATGTTGATGCCAATATGGAGAGAGAGAGAGAGAGAGAGAGAGAGAGAGAGAGAGAGAGAGAGAGAGAGAGAGAGAGAGAGATTAGTACATATATCTTATATATGATACTATAATAAAAACTATTCCTCATACATTCATCTTTATGATTAAGAGGATCCACAAATAAGAGTTCAACGAGTGAGTTGGATGAGAAACGTAATTGTCATTTAATAGATGAAACTATATCATTATGAGATGCCACTTTTAAAAGATTTGAAATTCAAATAACAATTGAACCCTTTAATAAGAAAAATAAAATTTTCTAATTCTTAGACAATTATTTAAATATGTTCGATTAAAATTTTTAGATTTTAATGTATTGTAGAAAAAATTAATATAATTGTATGAAATATAAAATGATGATGTGACATTGCGGAGGCCTTAATACAAATATATAAGGAAATTACATGGTACTAACAAGCTGTACATACAGGGATAATATAGGCCTTATACAAAATGAGTTATACAATTAATACACGTATATACTCTAACACTTACTGCTCCCATACACTCACTGATCATGGTACAATCCACCTCTATACATGCTGATCGTGGTCTTATCTTTTGAAGAAAAAATTAAGTTCACGTATCTAAAATGTCAAATGATCACAAGCATACTATTAATAAATTCCTTTAAGAAGCCGAGTGGACCTGGAAAAAACATTCCACAAGCAATTTCATAGACGAGACGGAGCCAAAGACTGCAAGAAGGCAACCGATTGCGATTAGGAACACATTAAGAGCCAAAATGGGCTTCGATATCTGGTTCCAAAAGATCTTGATATAGAATACTGATGGGAAAACGAGTGCAATTGCAGTGCTAACCATGGAACCTGTAAGGCCTAGGACATACTGGAAGTATGGCACCGATAGGGCTAAGACAAGTATGATTAGCAACAAAATTGAGCCAATGGTCCCCCTTACGATCATCTTGGTTCGAGACGTCATAGAGTATAGGAAGCGGTGTTCGATTTCTATTGCAATGGGTGTAAATTCGAGTGCGTATTTTGTCATTGGTGTCAAAACCGTAGCCCATAGTGCGATCTTAGTGAACACAAGGCCTCGAGGCATGCTGAGGGTAATTTGGGGATTTACTTCTGGTCCAAATAGTTTGGCACCCATGAACGCTAAAGACGCATATAGCAAGGTCACAAACGTGAAGCTTACAATGGATACCTGGAAAAACGCAAAATTAAAAACACGATATTAAATTATGTTGTTAGGCCCTCTTCTACATTAACATTAAAGCTATAAAAGTATTTTTTTGTTTCCTGTTTCAATCAAGCCTACTAATCATATCAAACAATATATAAATAATATCTAATAAAAAAAACATATTTTTGTTATTATTATGTACTTTATTAAAACATTACTATTATAATATAATAACTTTTATTTAATATTTTATGATATTTTATGTTATAAAAAATTACTGCAATGAAGCGACTAGTTGTAATTGTATATTAAATATGTTACTATCATATTCAAGATTTGACTTATTTTAGAAAATTTTATAGAGTTTGTATAATGTTATAAATTACAATATCGGTTTGGGTGTTATACATACAAAAAAACGATACTTTGGAGTACTATTGGAGTTGTTTTACGCCAATTTAGGTTCCTCATGATTGGGGTTGTTTTTACCAATTTGGGTTCCCTTTTTTTTGTACAAACCCAAAACTTTAGCACACCTTGAATATACTAATTAAAAGACCAATTTGCCCTTCTGGATGGGATTGATCATACCAACCTTGGTGAACTTGGAGGGGTCTTTCATGGCCCTGTGTATATCAGGGAAGACAATATGGCCAGCCAAACTGAACGTGTAAAGGCCGGAGACGTGAGGTATGTTCTTTAGCCGGAGAGCAGGGATCGTGTGGTTGGTGGCTACACCTCCAAACACTGCGGTGCATGCTACTGTCACAAAAATCATTAGCGACATGATGATGCCACTAGTAGAGAGGAACGAAATGGAAGAAAGATCTCTCAGCCAGAGGCTAGGCAACGCCACCAACACCGCAAATACAGTAAGAACCTGAGATGTCGACACGTGTTGAGCCCATGAGAACCGGATATTTGTTCCAAGGAAGACCATTTTCAAGTTATCATGCAATGATATCGTGTAGGAAACAAGTGCCATGAAGATCTCCAAGTAGATGAACGCAGCTGTAATGGCTCTTCCATGACTCCCGAAAGCATGGTGGCCAATATCGGTGTAGTTTCTTGCTTTCCTGTTGTTTTCGAGGCATTTTCCAAGTAGGTGGGAGGAGTATGCGCATGCAATTCCGAGGGCTACAAGCAGAAATGATGAAATCCACCCTGCATTTTCTAGTCCATATGATGTCGATAGTTGGCCAAGACCTGTATAACACATCAAAATTTAGTTAATGTGGTGGTTTTTTTAAAGAGAACCAATTACTCCATCGTCATTGTGGTTATGTTTATGTTTTTTGTTTATCTTTCTCCATGGTTTGAGTTAATGCAATGGGGTTTACAGCATGTTCCGGCCTCCTTTCTGTAGGTCTTTTGTTGTCCTTATAGGTTGTTTTGGGTATTGATTACGTCTGTTGCATGGCCTTTTTTTCATAGGTTGGGGAGTCTCCAATCTCTTATTATATTAGTTTTTTCTATTAATAAAATTTAACTAAGATGCTGCTCTCCTTTACCAAAAATAAAAGAAATCGAAAAGAAAACCCACACCTATGAGCATTCCGATCATATTAGCGACGGAATGAAGAAAAGAACTTTTGGCATCACTTGCATGCGGATCTGTTTCATTTATCTCGTTTCTAACCTGGAACTGCACACCATCCTCCAAAACAAGCTTCACTACTATCAACCCATTTCACAGCCAAGTTCACTTCATGAGTGGACTCACAATTGGTAGAAATATCGGAGCTCTTTGAGTTGAAAAATATTTTCCATAGATTCATTTTCGTTTTGTGGGTGTTGGTCCGATTTCCTCAAACTGACGTACATAACACTAAATTCTAATGTTTTTGGGGTTTCCTAGTGTACTTGAGACGATAATGATTGGGAAGTTATTTATAGGTGGTGCAAAGTGTGAAACACACAATACTGACGTGTGATAACACGTTAAAACTATGAGATTTTTATGTTTTTTTCGTAGAATATTATCATGTACATTTAATTAATTAATTAGAAGGTGGTGTTTGATGTGTAGCATTTGGAGATTCAAAAAAGGAAACATTTTTTGGATAGACTAGTAAAAGAAAGAAGAAATGGTTATTTGAATCTATGTAATTTTACTAGTTGTGAGACCATGTATTATATAAGTTAATTTAAAAAAAAAGTTAAATATAAATGTCAATATATTTTAGAACTTTAAATTTATAAGAAAATAAGAAAAACAATGAATTATTATAATGAAAATGTTTTTTATCTTTTAAATTGAAACAAATAATTTAAATAAAAAAAATAAACTAATGAACTTTATTTTTGGGAATTTTAGAATTAAAAGGTAAGTTTATTAATGAAATAAATATTCGTTTATTAATGAAATAAATATTCATTTAATACTATATTTATTGCAATTATTACATTAAAATATTATGTAGAATTTAATAAAATAAAAAAACTCATAAAATGACATGTGGAAAAAAAATTAATTCAAAATAACCACAAAATGACATTTGGCAAATTGAATGAGAGTGTGACAAATGGCAAAAACAACATTCATTTATTAGAGAGGATAAAATTGGATTGTGCATAAAAACAGAAATTCAATATCGAATGTGATTTGTAGATCCAAAAACCTATTTTTTTTCAATATACATTTGTGCTTCTCCAGCACAAGATGTTAGCGGTTTTTTAGTTTTTAGGTCATCCACGATGCGTTGAACTTGATAAAGTTCAATGGATTATCCCATCATATTTTTACAATCCATATAACTTTATCATTTTTTTTCATACAATGTATTGAACTCTATAAAGTTCAATTGAATATTGCAAAAGGTAATTTACATTATATATTTAATAATTAATTTTTTTCTATTGAAGAGTTCAATGACCATTTAACTCAAAATCCATTGAATGTCAATGTGTCATCTCACAATGATAGAGTTTCATTAATTAAATGACAATTAGACTCGTCACCTCATTCAACTTTCCCATTAAAATTACCATTATGAATCCTTTTATATAAATTTAGCTCGTTAAAAAAGGTTTAATTAAAAGTCAGATATTAATTGAGATAAAAAGGAGAAAAAATAAAAGCTTCAAAGATGGCCTTTAGGGGTGAACAGAAACCAAACCGAAACCCAAAAAAACCGAAATAACCGCATAAACCGAAGCCGAATAACTGAAACCGAAACGAAAACCGATGGTGCGGTTTTTAATTTTGAAAAACCGAAAAATTGCGGTGCGGTTCGGTTTTAGGTTTAATAATCGCACCAAATTAACCGAAATAACCGCAAACCGCATAATTTAATATATTATTTAAATATTTATAATACTTATATTTAATTAATAAAAATAAATAAGCTAATCTAAGGAATGCGCAGCTACGAAGCGGGACTCCAAAAAATTGAATCAATCCTTTCCTTTAGTTTTGACCGAAAAACCGCACCTTTTTAACCGAAAACCGCACCACCTTATTTTGTGGTTAAAAACCAAAACCGTACCGAAATAACCGCAAAACCGAACCAAATCAAAACCACAATTTTCGGTTTTTGGCTTTAAAAAACCGCAATTTGCGGTTGCGGTTGCGGTTTTATACAAAAACCACACTGAACCGCACCATGCTCACCCATAATGGCCTTGGTAATGTGTTAAAATATAATCTAATCGAAATAGACAGGGCTGTCAAATCGGGTAGGCGTGTCGAGTTTTTGTCTGACACGACAAAGTTTTATGTAACACGAACACGACACGACACGATGTCGTGTTTTTTTTTCACTAACACGAAAGCAAACCGGTTAAAACACAACACGACACGGTAAAGATAACATTACATAACTGTTAGTTTATTTAATTCATACTTAATCATATATAACATGACAAATACGAAAAATACGACAAACACATGTTCAATCGTGTCAATTTCATGCCGCTTTGTGTACACGAATATGACACGACACGACATCATGTTTTTTAAAATTGACACGAACATGTCATGAACACAAATTCAAAATTTTATTTCGTCCTAATTTCGTTTCATGCCGTGTATTTTTGTCGTTTCGTGTCATAAATTGACACCACTAGAAATGGACAATAATTATTAGATATGGATCCAAAAAATAATAATAAATAAAATATACACGAACGGGTCGGGTCCTCGATATTGATTAGCTATACGAATAAAAAGAAAATTTGACTAATTATATTAATTATTTTTCTAGAAAAATAAAAAATTAGTCAATTGTACGAAATGTCTTATTAAATTTTGAGACGTATCTAGTGTTGTTTTTTTTTCTTAAGGTCGAGGATTCAAGTCCCGTTAAAAAAATAGATGAATTTAGTAGTAGTTTAGGAATAAAATATATTTGTCGTTCAAAAAAAAAAATTTAAAATGATTACTTCATATGAAAAATATTAATGTAGCAAACCATATGAAAAATATTAATGTACCAATCAAAACCATATCGTTATGAAAAAAAATATCAAAAAAATATTTTGCAAATGCTTGCAAAAATCAAGATTTAATTTATGAAAGTTTCAAAAAGAACATTTAAATAAACATATTTGTATTAGGAATCTTTAAAATAATTTCCATACCTAAAGAAATTTTAATATATATATATATTATATATATATATATTATATATATATATATATATATGATTTTAGTGTTATCAACATGTTTTAGTGTAGTTGTTATTAATTTTGAGATAAATTGAGTTCTATTTCACTCACCGAAATTGAAGATGCGAGGTGCACACTCAAAGTAATTAATATGAGCTCGGGATACGGGGGTCCGGAGGCAACACCCTTGGCGGGGTCTAGGGGCAGCGCCCCTAGCGGGTCCAAGGGGGCAGAGCCCCTGGCAGTGGTCATCGGATGCGTCAAGGGGCAGTGCCCTGAAACTCACTTGGTGACAGCATGATGATACCATGCATTTTTCTTGCCAAAAACTCACTTGATGATATCTTGATGATAAGGTTGTCGGTTATGTCCAATAACTACATGTTTTGGCGCCAAATCTACATGTAACCACTACTAACTACTTTTCCCTCTTGTATAAGAACATTATTCATGTTCCTAAAAACGGGTTACAAAAGATACACTCGAAATGTACCCATTACGATTTGAACTATCTCTCAAGAAGACATCAAGTAAAGGTATTCTGTGTTTTTCAATTCGAATTAGGCCTGTAATTGTAATTGGTTTTATACTGGGATTATCCCACTTCTAAATTCGTGTATCCCAGGCAAAAGGAACGAACTACAGATTTCGGAAAGTGTCCTACACACGATCCATGAATCTATCCAAGTAATATATATTGTTATTTTTATTCCCTATTTTCTAACAATATATATATATATCTATATATATATATATATATATTATATTATATATATATATATATTATATATATATATATATATATATATATATATAGTGATATCTTCCCCGGACTTAACATCGCCTTTCATTGTCTCCATGGAGTTAAGCCTGAGAATCACAACACAGGGAAAAAGGCCGTAAGTCGTCGTCCAAGATGGGTTCCCGGAACGAAGCTCCAACGGTCAAGTTAGTGACTGGTTGAGTGAGTATGGGTTTAGCTGAAGAGTGAGTAAGGGGCGATCCCCTCTCCTGAAAGAGAGGGGGTTCTATTTATATCTGTCATGGCAGGGACAAGATCATGACAATACCTTTTGGTCTCTGCTGGGTCGACAGGACGTGGATGCGTCTTATTGGCAGATCGTGCTCCACTATTGGTTAGCTGTCGTTGGTGCAGAATTCTAAGGTGGCATGGCCCTGAGCATTACACCTGTCTCTCTAGGAGACGAATGGTACTGTTTTGTCTCCGAGTTGGCTTCAGTGCTTGGGTGACAAGGAATAATCATGAGATCACGAGGGCGAGGGCGTGGACTCAACGCTAGGCGTACAATGATCCTTGACTACGACGTTTGTGAGCTCCGTTACATTTGACGTATTCTTTGCGGGATACATTAACAAGTCCCCTAGGCTAGTAGACGTCAGCGTTTGGTTAGGGTAGTTGATTTGTTCTAGCTTAGATCTGGACACGCGTTCGGTTGAGATGGATCTTGATAGCTGCTGACATGACGGAGGCGTCTGCACATATAGTTTTCATCTTTATAACCACTTGGGCTTCCCGCATGCATTTTGAAACTTCCGTTGTTTGTGCCAGTTTCCTTTTCTTCGCTTCTTCCAGGTTCTGCTACTCCTTCCTTCTTTCTACTCTTTTCATTTTCGCCTTCATTCTCGTCTTTTCTTGTCGACGAACAATGGCTACCCAAAACATTGGAATTGTGCCCTCTGCGAGTGATTTTGCCGATCCTCAAGAACGGTTCGGTTTTCTTGTTGAGCACGGTGTGGAATACCCTCGGAAAGGGGCTATCATTTCTCTTCCACCAGAAGGGAAGGTCAGAGTCCCTATACCGATCTTTGAGGCGAGGCTCCGACTTCCCATGTTCGATTTTTTCGATGACATTATGTGTCAATACGGATTTTCTATCGACGATCTGACTCCCAACACTGTCAACAAGTTTGTTGGCTTCGAAATGGTGTACGGGGCTTTGGGTGTGCTTCCCCAGTTCTGGGCCTTTAAGTATTTCTTCAACTCATCGACTCAGCCTGGTGTGCATAATTTTTTTAAGTAGAGGGGAATCCACGCATTCGTCATTAATCAGAACGCCCCCAACAAAAATTGGCAGGACAAGTGGTTATGGGTGAACCGCGATTTGGTCAGATTCAGTTATCCTCGTCAGACCAACTTCACTGATCGGATTTCCGCTCTCTGGTGGGCCAGCGCAACCGTGGCCAGGGCATTGAGAACCATTTCTTTCAACGGGGAGGACTGTATGCTGGCCGCCGTCAGTATGAGTGCTGCTTGTAGGGTGCGGGGGATGATGCCTTATTTCTACGTTGAGAAGGATGGTAAGTACCTCTCCTTCGCCCCTTTTTTTTTATTCCCGTTTTCCTGCACTTGTTTTGCATTGTGCGACTAGTAATTCTGACCATGTACCTAAATGCGCTGGCTTGGTTTTTATTTGAAGGTCGTGAGAGGGTCGTACCCTTTGAGATGGTACTGAGGGGCCACTTTCAGGGCACCTTTCAATACTGAGAGGTGCCCTTGGTAGAGACACTTCCTCCACCGGTCAATGCTGACCGTGTCCTGGCTCTTGCTGGTTCTCACATCGCTTCTTTGCCCGAATCTGGTTCCCTTTTCACTCGAGCGTTGGTTGACGCACCTGTTGGGGGATCCTCCAGCAACAATCATTTGCCCTCCGATCATGAGGAGGAGCCACCAACTGAGTTGGTGACGAGGGACAGGCGCTTGGCTTCTAAGAGGCGATTGGATTCTAAGAGGCGATTGGCTTGGTTGGATTCCCATATTGTGGAGGATGTCGATGTTGATTCCTCTATCCGGCGCCTTCATAAGAGGCGAAATGTGGACTTCCTTTTGGGGGAGTCCGACGTTGTTGTAGACATTCCCGATGATGACCCATCGAAACTGTCAGAGGGAATGAGCAAAAAGGTGACATAATAGCCTCGTGAACCCAAGGATGAGCCCAAGGATGCAGCGACCCCTGGGGGGGATCTTTGGGCAGGATTCAAATTACATGTCCCAAGTTCCTCCCGATCCAACTTTAGTATCGACGGGAGACAGTGCTGTTTTAGGTTCTTCCTCTCCCCTCTGGCGATTTCTGCCATATATGTGTCGGAGTGGTGACTTAAACGAGATTCTCTCTTGACGAAGCATTCTGCTGCATACGAATAGAGTCGTCATTCCTTCCCTTCCGTTACAATCGAAGCCCTGCAACTCCTTTCCAACTACCATATGTCTAACAGCCTACAGTATGCAGCTGCTCGGTTGCCCCTACATGGTTGCTGCTGCCCGACGCCTTCGCCAGGTATGTTTGAACTCTAGAGAGCTCGCCTCCGTAAGGGCCGAGCAGGATGAGCTGAGGGCGAAGTTGCCAGGTTTGGAGGAGGAGAAACGTAGGTTTAAGGAGCGTTACGACCTCTTGGCTGGGGAGAAAGCATCTTTGTAGGAGATGGTGGTAACTTTTGACGGGTCGGTGGAACATTATTCTTAGTGAATCGAAGTCTTGGTGGAGGAGAAAAAGGTGCTATAGGGTCAAGTGGAGGATGTTAATAGGCAACTGGAGGAGGAGAGCGTGAGGAGGAAGGCTGTAGAGGATGATCTAAAGTGGCTGCTTCAGAAGGGTATCGTCTGGGTGGTGGACAAGGTGGTTGAGAGCCCCGACTTTGTTAGGTTTTGAGCACTATAACACTCCTATGGTGCACATGCAACCCTAAATGCTTTAGATCTATGTTTTCTCTAATTATACATGCATTTTCAATTTTTCCAAAGCATTCTCCTAACTAGCATACAAATTGTCAAATGAACAATACAACTAGTTAGATTACTTACCTCTTAGAAGGACTTGTAGTTCTTGACCTTTGAAAGCTTGAGCACCTCAAGTGTGATGCCTCTAATGGTTCACTAACACCAATATGCAATAAGAGGCTTGAGAGAATAGGTTACTTGCACAAAATCAATATCACTCTCTAAGAAACTTGTGACTAATGGCGTAACCGATTTTGGCCATAAGGGGTTTAATTTATAGTGTGGCAAATGCTAGGGTTACACTTTGTAAACCCTAATGACCTTTCATATTACCTGGGACCCATGGATTAACCTCCATGGACTATCCATGGAGTATCTCACTGGTTTAGCCCATCCTAAATAACCATGGATCATTAGCCCACTATTAGAATGATTGATTTACACAATCAACCCCCATATATTTAATTAGTCTCTTTTGATCACAAAATTAATTCCAAATTAATTCTTGATCAATACTAATTAAATAATATGATTTCATATCCTATATATTATACTTGTAATATATTAATAAATCATAAATAACCTTATTCTCAAAAGTCCATCCTATCAAATTGCGCTGGTGAAGGCAACCCAAAAGGACCATGCTACAATCGGGTCAAGTACATCCCAGTTATAGTTATGGGCTTAGACACCAAATTCAATAAACTTTTCACTGGGTGTAAGGCATATGAAGGCAACCTGCATGGCTACCGGGGTTGAGGGTGGTAAGCAGGTGATTAGGGAGCAGATTTCCACCAGGAAATTTGTGCCTGGTAAGCTAAGCACCCTTTTGGAGTACACTCAGGCGATGCATGCGGAGGTGAAGTCTTTCCTGGAGACCGAATTTGTCTCCTACCTCCATCTTGGTGATCTTTACATAGAGGGTCTCCATCAGTTGTGCAACGATTCAGACGCCGAATGGAATCATCTTGACGCCAACACTTCTAGGGCGTGACCTTCCTCCACTCCTCCTGGTATGTGAGTTTTATCCTCTTCTCGTTTTTGTTGTTGTTTGAAGCATTGTTTAGCTTTCCCGGTGTTTGTGAGATAATGTTATTAGATGGTATTTGTATTCGTGTTGGGCCCTATGTGGCATTTCTAATTCCGGGAGCTATCTTGTAGACAATTTTAACTTCCCTACTTTTCAACGCTATAACTCTCCTTAGTTTATCACATTGTCTTGTCGTCCCTGGTGGTTTGTGTTGGCCACCCTAGATTTGGATTCGTCTCGAAGGTTGATATTGGCCTTTGGGGCATCCTTGCTTTTTGGTTTCACATTGGAGGGGAATCGATTATGATTCCTATTTTTTTGGTAGATTTGTTGGGCCTGGGGCACATTTTTGGGCTTTAGCCTAGGAGCCCGCTCTAGTGGGGTTGGGGCTCATCCTTTTTTAGTGTTTAGGGTTTATCCTTATAGGATCAAGGCCTTGGTTGGACTTCGGTTATGAACTCAAGCTGGTTCGTTTTGTTATGGAACCCCTTTTTTAGCTAAAGGTTTTCTCGCTGCCCTTTTGGGTCTTTGTTCTAAGTCCTGATTTGAGAAGGATTGTACTCCGAACCTAGCCATCTAAGTCAGGACGAGATCGTCACCTCGAGGCCTGAGGGATTAGGTATTGTATATTTCGAGGGAAAGGTTATGATCTGTTGTGATATGTCTCCGGCTCGACTCCTTCTTTGTGAGGGATGGAAAAAGGGGGAGGGGGTCTGAGAATCACATCAAAGAAAACAAGACCGTCAGTCGTCGTTCGGGAGGATGTCCCGGAAAAAAACTTCGACGATCAAGTCAGTTCTAGGTTTTGATGAGAGCGTGAGAAAGTGTGACAATAAAAGGTTAATGTTGAATGTCGGTCCCTTCTCTTGGAGGAGAAAGGGCATTTTTATACCTGGAGTTGGGGGAACAGAACCCCGACCATATCTTCTACTTTTTCAGGTCTGGCAGGGACTGGCAGCTTCCGATTGTTAGATCGTGCTCCGTGGGTGGCTTTTTGTTATTGGTGCAGACTTTCCAAGGGATCAGCGTCCTGAGCGTTACACCCGTCGATTTGGGGGACAACTGGTACTATTTTTTCTTGACGCTGGTTCTGACGCTTGGGCGCCAAGGAACAAATACGGGGTTGCGAAGGGCGAGGGCGAGGACGGGGCGTTAGGCGTACACCGAATTTTGCCTAAGCTGTCTATCAAATTGACGGTTCCGTTACGCCTGACGTATTCCTGATGGGATACGTCAACAAGTCCCCTAGGCTAGTAGACTCCAACGTTGGCTTAGGGTAGCTGAGTTGTTATAGCTTGGATCTGGACATGCATTCGGTGGGGATGGCTTTTGACGACTACTGGGGTGACGAAGGCGTTTTCGCAGGCGGTTTACATCATTGTAACCGGTTGGGCTTCCCGACTGCATTTAAAACTTCCCCATTTGAGTCTAACTTCCTTTTTCTGGTTCTTTTCACTTCTGCTACTTCTTTTCCTTTTCTCTCCCGTTTCTACTTCTTCGACGAACCATGGCTGACTTGAATACCAGGATCATTCCATCTTCAAGCAAGTTCGCCGCTCTTCAAGAGCGGTTTGGTTTTCTTCCTGAGCACGACGTGGAATATCCTCGAAAGGGGGCAATAATTTCTTGCCCATCGGAGGGGAACGTCCGGGTCCCTGTTCCGATCTTCGAGGCCGATATGTGGCTGCCGATGACGAATTTCTTTGACGAGATAATGCGCCAGTACAGCTTTCGTGTGGACGATCTGACTCCAAATGCCGTCAACAAGATATGAATCATAAAATTGGTTAGAAGGTTACCTCTTTATGTAGCTACTAAGACTTTGGCCTTTCCTTGGAGAATTAGCACCCCCAAGTTTTGTGCCTGAAACAAGTCACAAACACCAATACATAACTAAATGGATATGAGATAGGCTAAGGAGACTCAAAATCGACTTCTCTTCTTGGAATGCAAGGTGTAACCGATTTTAGATATGAATATCTATATATATATATATATACTATTTATTATATATAATATCTATATATATATATAGAATATCAAGGGTCATGTGTAACCCTAATCCATACACATAAGCTTATGATCCACCCATTTGATTTGGATAAATACTTCATTGATTAACCCATATGCCCATCAGAAATCAAACTATGGATCATTAGCCCAACTCATATGTATCAATTTAATTAGTCTCTTTTGATCACTAAATTAATTCTTGATCAATACTAATTAAATAATATGATTCCTCAATTAATATATTGTACTTATAATATATTAATAAATCATAAATAACCTTTTACTCAAATATCCATCTATCAAATTGTTCTGGTGAAGGCAACCCGAAATGGACCATGCTACTATCGGGTCAAGTACATACCAATTATAGTTATGGGTTTAGACACCTAATCCAACAGTCTCCCACTTGGATAAGTCTAATAACTATAATTGCCAATCCAACTTAAAATCCAATTAGCATTCGTAGCTCTCAAAAATCTGCTGTCATACTCTGATGCATCCATTAGATAAGTGATCACATAATCCTCTGTTCTACAAGATATCGTGTGGACAAAGACATGGAATAAAGTTATGCTCATTGTCCAACAGTTTGTTTCCCGATTTCTGATTTGTTTGACATAGAACTTAATTGAACACATCAGTTGAGTCCTGACCGGGCCCAACACATAAGTCAAAGCAAAATCATCGAGGGGCCCAAGATATCGCTTTTAATCCTCTTAGGATAAAAGGAACAGATAAACCTCGACTTATATGCTTTTACTAATTACTCGTTAAATCATACACAACAACATGTTTTATAACATCGAGTTACCGATGCGTTTTTGCATTATCAATGTACAACCAACTCATAATCAACAACTCATATATCTTAGTTTGAAGACTATACGATATTATCATCTCACAATCACTTGTGATAAATTTCATGAAGTGATTCATGTGAGTGTGGGTTTAATCCAATACTCAAATCTTATTTCAAGACCACTCATGAATGTTTGTAGCAAACTTTGCTATGTCTAACACCTTAGACAATCTTACAAAAACCCATTGATGACATTCTACTTTCATAATCGACTTCCAAAGTATGATCGGCTGTGGATAGTTTGAATAATTATATTATTCTGGAAGTCAAAACATGCAAAATGAAACAATAGTAAATAATTGACACAAGATAGTAGCTTTACTTATAAATAAAACTCCTTTTATTCAATCATCAAATGTCAATTACATTTTAGCTATTACAAGTTTCTAAAAAGCTACCTAATCATTAAAAGTAATATCGTCCTTCAGCCCGATTCTCTTAGCGTGCTGCAAGTGCTTAACCCTACTCAGTCCCTTCGTAAGGGGATCTGCTTGGTTCTCTTCTGACGATATGCCCTTCATCACGAGGAGTCCTTCTTCTATTCGATGTCTTATGAAGTGATATTTTCTGTCGATGTTCCTGGATCTGCCATGATCCCTTGGTTCCTTGGCTAAGGCTACCGCACCCTCGTTGTCATAGAAAATCTCCACAGGCTCCTTTACAGCTGGTACAACTCTAAGGTCTCGAATGAAGTTCTTCAGCCATATTTCCTCCTTTGCTGCTTCGCTTGTTGCTATGTACTCTGATTCGCGCGTTGAATCATCCACAGTTTCCTGTTTGGAACTTTTCCATGTTATTGCTCCTCCATTAAGGGTAAATATCCAGCACGACTGAGAGCGGAAATTATCTCTGTCGGTCTGAAAACTGGCGTCACTATACCCTGTCACTCTCAAGTCATCACTCCCACCGAGGGTAAGGACCCATTCCTTAGTCCTCCGTAGGTACTTAAGAATGTTCTTTACCGCAGTCCAGTGTGCTTTACCAGGATTTCCTTGATATATGCTAACCATGTTCAAAGCAAAGGCTACATCAGGGCAAGTACACGTCATAGCATACATGATCTAACCAACAGCAGAAACATATGGTATTCGACTCATTTCGGCTATCTCAGCCTCTGTACTCGGACTATGAGTCTTACTCAGTTCAGTATTGCTCTGGATAGATAATTCTCCTTTCTTGGATTCCTCCATGCTGAAACGCTTCAACACTTTGTCCAAGTAGGTACTTTGACTAAGTCCTATTAGCCTTTTACTCCTGTTTCTCAATATCCTTATCCCTAGAATGTAAGCAGCTTCCCGAAAGTCCTTCATAGCAAAACACTTCCCAAGCCAAGACTTAACCTCCTACAAGGTTGGGATGTCGTTTCCCATGAGCAGTATGTCATCTACATACGATACCAGAAAGCTAACTATACTCCCACTAGCTTTGACATATGCACAAGACTCATCCTCGCTTCTCGAAAAAGCAAACTCTTTGACTTTCTCATCGAAACAAAGATTCCATCTGCGAGATGCTTGTTTGAATCCATAAATGGATTTCTCAAGCTTACACACTCTATTAGGGTACTTTTCATTGACAAAACCCTCTGGCTGATTCATGTAAACATCTTCAGCCAACTTCCGATTAAGGAAAGCGGTTTTGACATCCATTTGCCATATTTCATAATCATGAAATGCAGCTATGGCTAGCATAACCCTTATAGATTTGATCTTAGCCATTGGTGAGAAGGTCTCATCATAGTCAACTCAAGAGTTTGAGTAAAGCCCTTCGCAACCAATCGTGCTTTATAAGTGTGTACTTTCCCATCCATGTCGGTCTTCTTCTTGAAGATCCATTTGCACCCGAATGTCATACGACCTGGTACATTGTCAACCAAGTTCCAAAATTGATTGTCATACATGGGCCGAATCTCGTTGTCCATTGCCTACTTCCATTTAGCAAACTCGGGGCCTGCCATGGCTTCCTTGTAGTTGTTAGCTTCATCAAAGTTTACCAGTGTACTATCACTGATAAATGTATCACCCTTAGAGGTAATATGGAAACCATAAAAATCAGGTGTCTGTCTAACTCTACTGGAATGCCTCAGAGGTAA